CTTCAGAATCCCAGAATTCTTCTCCTAGATGAAGCAACCAGGTGAGGCTATCTTAATGTGTAATTGGATTAAACCAAATTCTTCCTCTATCACAAACTTTTATTCTGTACTTCAAGTGATACGGCTGAGAATGCCTTACACTTTAAAGTCACGGGGTCTGAATTAATCATGACAGTTGGGAGGCAGTGAGCAGGCCGAGTCATGAGTTGAGGGTTCTAGTTTCAATTCAGACATTTGTGATGAATCCCTGATCACCAATCAGCAACTGTGCAAAATGCTTTTAACTTACATGGCAGTAGTTCTATGGAGATCAAGGGTCCAAAGCTGCTTTTTTTTATAGTAACTTTATAATATAAAATACAGTTGACCCAAGAAGTTGCAATTTTGATCATAGTGAAAATTGGCTGCTAATGAGGGGCCAGTGTACATGTACCAGGAAATACACACGTGAACAGTGTGCGTGGCCCTGACGTCTTTGCTTTCCTGTGGGCTCTCCTATTCAGTGCACTGGATGCTGAAAACGAGTACCTCGTTCAGCAAGCTCTGGATCGACTGATGGAAGGAAGGACGGTGTTCATCATCGCCCATCGTCTGTCCACCATTAAGAATGCCAATATGGTAGCTGTCCTTGACCGGGGGAAGATCACCGAGTGTGGGAAACACGAAGAACTGCTTTCGAAACCAGATGGGATATACAGGAAATTAATGAATAAACAGAGTTTTATTTCAGCATAAAGAAGCAATTATTGGTAAACTTAATATGAGACACTTTAAATCAAAGCAGCACTACAGGAAGAACATTTTTTAAAAACCCAGGCTGTATGAAATCTGTAAATCATACTTCAAGTTATTTGAAATCTGCCAATTTTTTCCAAAGATTGTAAAATATTGTTTTGAGATCGACCTGTTCTCAAGACCTTTTTATTCAGAGTTTTAATAATTGTAACTTTCTAAATGTCCAGTTCACTGAAGTTATTTTCAGGTTTTGTACTTTTATCTTGGACTATTTTGATTAATATAGCCTGGCACCTCACTTTCTTTTATCTGCTGTTATAAATTGAAGCTATTGTCAAATGACAACTTTTAAAAGGGAATTATAAATAAAGAGCCTAATTATTTTAGGCCATTTTACCAATCACTGTGTAATCTCTTGGTAGTACTCTACCTACTTTGGGTATCATTGTACCAGGTAGCATAATAGAAGGTGAAAATCTAACCCTTTATTTTATCCTGATAATCTCATAAAGCAAACCTGACATATATATATATATATATATATATATATATATATATATGTGTGTGTGTATCTATATATATGTGTGTATCTATATATATATGTATATATATGTGTGTGTGTGTATATATATATACACACACACACACAAATAGTTAACATCACATGGCAAGGAGGGATCATGTATGTTCCCCATCTCCTCTCTTCAGAGGTGTGAAAGTTCAGGGACATGTGTTCCTCTGGGCTGAGACTGTGTTTGGATGTGTGCATTTTCAACATTTTTGGCACATGAGAGAACCTGATGAGTTGTGAAAAGGGAAGAGGCCCCATCCTTTGAATATGAGAACTTCTGATTTCATTATTTACATATTTGTTTCTGTGAATTTGGGAAGCCAAGAAGGATGTAAAAATGAATTTTACACTTATGTTGTCTGAGGCATGTATCTTGAAAATTATCTTTTAAGAGTTTATAATTCCTAGCCAAATTTTACAGCTTTTTATCAGTTACTTAGTTTTGAAATTTCATTCAATGAGGCTAAATTCCAAAATTATTAATATAACTAATGTTCAACCTTAAAACATTTGAAGGAAGCTTATATGTTCTTGCTATTCTGCAGAAGATCAAGAAAGCTTAAGAGCTTTTCACTCTTCTGAAAAGAGGACATAACTAACCATCTTTCTTTTATTTGTGGTTATAGTTTTATTCACCTAAATTTCTGAAAATTCCTCAAGCAATGCTGACGCCATTGGATTTGTCGTATTTCATATCGGCACCATTAATTTGCTGTTGCCTCAAGAAAAAGTACTTTTCTACATTGATAATGCCAGAACCTAAGAAGTAACAATGTTGATGTGATTAAAATGGAAGTTTCCTCGTGTCCTAAGTATTGATTAGTTTCCTGATTATACTGGAAGAAACCACTATTTCACGATAAGCATGGAGTATTACATTTATTCTACCTAAGGGAATTTATTAATGAATAAAATGAATTCAGTGAATGAATGAACTCAGTGTTCTTTGAATTAGTAAACAGTACATCTGTGACAGTAATTTTAAGCTTTACTTGTTTTCTTCATGGTTTACTACTATGGTATAGTTCTCAGAAAGATACAATCACAAGGTTGGATCTGAGGGAAATCTCTTTGTGCCATGGAAATATTTACAAAATTGAATTTGATCATTACATTTTATTTTCTTATACAATGTGTTAATTGTGTCTTGGGTAACATTTTATGTCGTGGATTAAAATTGAAGCACATTACATTTATTGTGCACTTTATTTCTATTATTATTACAGATGCAGCTTGTCACTTGCCACTCACTGATACGGTTTTGATATGAGTCTGCAAGCAGTTGATTTACTATGCAGTCAAACCTCTCTGCTAAGGATAATCTGTATCTGCAGCCGCTCCCCAGCACTAGCATCACCACCTCAGCTCCACCTCAGATCACCAGGCATTAGATTCTCATAAGGAATGCGCAACCTAGATCCCTCGCATGCGCAGTAGGGTTCGCACTCCTGTGAGACTCTAATGCTGCCGCTGATCTGACAGGAGGCGGAGCTCAGGTGGTAATGCAAGCGATGGGGAGCGGCTGTAAATACAGATGAAGCTTCGCTCGCTCACCCACCCTTCACCTCCTGCTGTGCGGCCTGGTTCCTAACAGGCCACGGACTGCTAGCGGTCCGTGCCCTGGGGTTGGGGACCCCTGATATAGAAGATAAGCAAAAAGAAGTTTAAATCACATGAAAGTCTCCACGTGAAGATAAAATGTCACATCAGTGAGCTTAGTGTTCTGTTGTCTGCTCTCCCAGGCTCCTCTCTGTGTAAGGTCTCTGACCTTGGACCTGACTGGTTCCCAGAAAATAATCACAAATTAAACCATTATAGGCCGTACCCTGTATATGTACTTTTATAAAGTAGGGCTCCACTTAGGGAAATACATTTTATTCCATAAAAGTGCCAAAGCTGTTAGAAAATAAATGAAAAGAAATGTAAATGTTGTAAAACGTTAAGTATATTAATGCAAGAAGTATATGGAAACTGCATTGTAAATGTTCGAGGGTGTTTGTTTTTCTACGTTTTTACATCTGAGGCATCATGGAGCTTAGCTGGTAATCTCCATTCAACTCATTCAATAAACATTTATGGAGCATCTTCTATTTTGTTAGGTGCTGGCTGCACCTCCCTCATGAGGCTGGCACAGGGGTCCCCAAGCTGTGACCTGCTACCTGTTTTGTATGGCCTGCAAAGCTAAGGATGGTTTTTACAGTTTCAAATGGTTAAAAAAAATTCATAATACATGAAAGGTATATGAAATCCAAATTTCAGTGTCCATAAGTCGAATTTTATTGGAACACAGCCATACTCAGGGCAACAGACAGCAAGCTGGAGATTCTTCCTCTCTGGCCCTTGACAGAAAAAGTTTGCAGCCTCCAGCACTGGGGAAAACAACACACATTCTCACTGCTTGAAGGATGTTTATGCTGAAATTTAGAGTTATCTCAAGAAGTTCCATTGCCACTAGATGGGGGCCTTGGAAATGACTGGGCCTGGATAATTTCCATGATGAGTTCTTCATCGCACCCCTGCCTTTCCATTTGAAGAGGATCATAATTACTGTGTTGCTGAGAACGGAATTCTGATAGTTCTACCACATCTGCAGGAAATAATCCTGGCTGCTTCCCTGTTGTTGACCGCAGGGATGAGTCCCACATCAATCAGTGTGGTCTTAACAGAATGGGCTGAGTTTTAGGAAGGTTGGACAGAGGGAGGCACACCTAGGCTGAGAATCTTACACACACACACACGCTGCACTTGTGGGGTATTTTTCTTTTTATCTTAATGAAACAAAAATGGGCTTATATTGGACATACTAATTTTTAACCAAACTTTTTTTTTTTTTTTTTACCGGTATGCGGGCCTCTCACTGTTGTGGCCTCTCCCGTTGCAGAGCACAGGTTCCGGACGCGCAGGCTCAGCGGCCATGGCTCACGGGCCCAGCCGCTCCACAGCATGTGGGATCTTCCCGGACCGGGGCACGAACCCATGTCCCCTGCATCGGCAGGCGGACTCTCAACCACTGCGCCACCAGGGAAGCCCAGAGCTCTTCCTTTTGCCTTGGCCAACTGCCCAGTTTTACCAAATGGGGCAGAGGTGGTAGTAAGATAGGGGTCCTAATGAAAGCGTGAAACCAGCTTTCAACGATTGAATTGTGAGGGGTCTGCAGGACTTCCAGGTGAAAGCGTCCACTAGGAGGCTGTCAGAAGCCTGTGGATTTTGAGCAGGATCTGGTTAGCGATACGGACTTGTGGCGTCACCAACGTGAATGGGAAATGACAAACCTAAAGAATAACATCTAAAACACTGAGTGTGAAACCAGTGTCAGATTTAACACTTTCCCTCCCTTCTCAGCTTGGACCAGGGAAGAACTCATTTCCCAAGAGGCTCAGGAAGGACCAGCGTGCAGAGGCTTTGCGTTCCAGTTGCTGGAGGGCCACCCCCACCCGCCGGACTGGAGAAGGGCACCTGCTTTTGCTACTTCACTTCCCTGGAAACTCCGGATTCTCGCCGCTCCAGGACGGGGACACGAGCACACAGACCCTCTCCCCCTCTAGGGGCCGCCGCCTTGACCACGCCCCGTGGCTCGACGCTACCCCGTACGTCACCACCCCACCCCCTCCTTTCCGGTTTCTCCTGACTTCCTGACCACACCCCACGCCTCGGCAAGGCGCTTTGACGTCATCACAGCGCGCCCCGTGGCCTGGCGCTGCGGTTTGACGTCTTCACCGCGCTCTCTCCTTCCCCTCAGGTGTTCAACCTTCGCGCGCTGGCCGAGCCTCAGCTCCACGGTTGAACGTGCGCTCTCTGTAGCCTTGCGTCATGTTCCCGGCCGTCTCCTCTCCGCGGACCCCGGGGCCCGGGGCCCGAAGGGGCCCGCTGGGCGGAGTTGGGCCGGGCTCCACGCCCCGGGCGACCAGCAGGAAGGGTCTGGCCCTGGGGTCTTCGGTCAGCTCTCCGGTGTTCTTCTCGCCGGCCGGCCGTCGTAGCTCGCTGAGCTCGCGGTGAGTGATCGTCCCGGGTTGCGTTTGGCGAGTCACAGGCTCACGGGCCTCCAGAAGCCACCGGAACCGGGGACGGCGCGGGACGCCAGAGTATTGGGAGAAGAGACCTCTGTCACCCTTGCATCCTTGTGTGTTGTTATTTCAGTCTCGCTTTAATTCATCAATTGAGTCTTCGCATCATGCACTTTGCATGGAATTACCTTTGTGTAGAGGTGAAGAACACATTGGATTAGAATCAGTGGTTACCCGCCTCACTCTTAGTACCCCTGTGATCTGGTGTAGGTCACTCATGATCTCTTCGTCTGCGAAATGGCGATAATGATACCTGACCAGAGCCTGCGAGGAGTCAGTATGAAATGCCACGATGCAGATATAAAGTGGAGAGTGAGGACCTCAAACCCTGGAAAATCATTATATGTGCTTAACATACTAACTGCCCTTAATATCCGCTGGTGGATAATTAAAGGGATTTTAGCTACGGAAGTTAGCTTTGTAGCCAAATTAATAGGGAAAAGGCTTTCCATAAGCAATGAGATAAGACTAGTAGTTTTGTTACCAAATAAAAGCATGGCACACCAGTTCACGTCACTCGTGAAACCGTGGTCTGCATCTCCCCTTTCATAATTAAACTAGAATTTTAGAAGAAGCTAACATGTGTCTTGAGTGGTTTCTTTTGAATTCGTCTATCAAAAATGAATTTTCCCCTGCAAAAAGACGGTGATACTGGGTCTTGAACTTATAGTTAAAATTTATCTATAGAAGTTTGCAATACTTTAAAGGAGAAATGAGTTTTAAAGAATACCTTGTATCCTTTTGCGTTTTGTAAAGTGCTTTTCAAATGGTAATCTTGTGATTGTTTTCTACTCCTTTTGAGAAAAGTCAGTGAGTAAAAGTCATATTTGTTTTTTTTTTTTTTTTTTATTTCTTCTTACCTTTCGGTAATCATTGAAAGGAAAAACCTTTGTTATAATACTTTGTCAGAAACAATGCTCTCAGTCACTCTGCATCTCCTCAGTTAATCCTGTGATAAGAGGTAGAATAACTTTTATACTAATAAATTTACACTGGTTTTCTGAATGTTAAGAAGAAGGGGAGAAGGAAGTATAATTTCTACTGCTGTATCTGTTATCGAAGACCAGGTAGCAGCAGATACTCACGACCCTATTTAATTTCTTGATTTTGATTGTATAAATCTGGTAGATTCTTATAATTCTGTATCTGATGAGAGCTTAAAGATAATCTAACCTAATGTTTGTAAAACTTTTTTGACCACAGAGTATGATAAATTCTATATTCTATTTCGTTTTTTAAAAATGTTGATTGAGACCCATAATTTGAAAAACACTGATCTAGTCCAGCCTTATTTCACAGTTAAGGAGGCAGAGTTATAAAGAGTTTAAGTGAATAGATCATGCATCTAATTACTAGAGCATGAAAGTCTGAAGCCAAGTTTTCCTAAATCCTGTCAGTCTTTTTTTTTTAATGAAAAATAAATTTAATAACACAGTATATATGAGCCAGAGTTTTTTCACTGTTATACTTCATCTTTCTTCTTGTTTATCAGAGATTTTCTCTTTATTGTGAAAATATATACATAAAAATTATAATGAATAATGGAAATTTTTAAGTTATGAGTGAAATAATATGGTCCCGTTTCTTTAGAGGAACACCTACACGAATATTCCCGCACCACTCCATAACTGAGTCTGTGAACTATGATGTGAAAACATTTGGATCTTCTCTCCCTGTTAAAGTCATGGAAGCCTTAACATTGGCTGACGGTGGGTATCATTTTCATTTGCTTCTGTTAGCAATGCAAAATGAAGCCTAGGTCTGGCATGGAGATCGAAATTTGTGCTTTCTCTGGTATACCTTCACTTCAGTGGAGAGAAATAGGTGGCTTATTTGGTTTTTCATTGTAATTGAGAAATATCAATTTGGGAAGCAGAATGAGTTCATTTTAGCACAATCAAAATAAATGTTTATGGTTGTACATACTCTATATGCAAAAGTTAGTCCAATTTCAAAAGTTGATTGAGTATATGAGCATATGAGTATATGCTTTTTAAACAAAATCCAAAAAACTACTGCCTCACATTACTGGGTTTAATAATTCAGTAGAATCAAGTCTTACCTCCATTTCTGGATCCTATGTAGTACCCTAGAGGCTGTATGCACAAATTTATGTTATCAATTTGGTGCACCATTAGAAGATTCTCCTGGCAGACAATTAGACTGGAAGTGTGGACGATGCAGCCAACACAAGCTTTAGAAAGACACCGTTAAGGATGAGTTGGGGTGACTAGAAGAGTAAAGTTCAGAGCATCCTGTGATTTCCTGGAACAGTGTTTTTGAGACTGCAGGTAGTGACTGAAATCAGTTTAGTGGTTCATGACCAGCATTTTTTTTAAAAATGAAGTAAAATAGATTGCAAAATATCAGAGTGCTTCTCATTTCGTTTTATTAAAATTGTGTATGAATGCATCATGATGTAAAATGGATTTCATACTGTGAATGACAGTCACAAAAGTTTAAAGTACTCCGTTCAACAAGAAGGAATATTTCTCATCAACTTGAACCGGCACATCTTGCCAGTAAGTCCATGGGAGCTTCAGGTCCAATTATTTTCAGGCAGCTAAACTTCCGTGAACCTCTGTCATGCATTGTACCTATTTTAAATATATTTTTTCTTTTCCCGTCTAAAAATTTCAGCTTAAATTGCATTTAAACCTTTTGACACACTCCTGGTTCCTGCCACCAGATCATGTTAATAATAAATAGTACACAGCCTCAGAGGAGAGAGTCTCTAGAAATCAGGATGTGTAAATTGAAGAGTGTGTAAACTTGAGAGGAACTCGTCCTCACGTGGAAACTTCCAAGTGCTAGTCAGTTGGTGTGCTGTGTTAGCGTCCTCGAGGGTTCACCAGTGGAGGATTTGGAGCTGCTGTAGTGCTTTCAGGAAAAGAAAATACGGAGCAGATACTCCAGTTCAGCAAAAAGCCCACCCTTAACCTAGGTATGATGTGATATTTTAGCTTGTACATTATTGATGCCTTTTAGTTTGCCCCTCTACCCTGACTTTAGTTTTATTTATTTATTTGTTTTGCGGTACGCGGGCCTCTCACCGTTGTGCCCTCTCCTGTTGCGGAGCACAGGCTCCGGACGCGCAGGCCCAGCAGCCATGGCTCACGGGCCCAGCCGCTCCGCGGCATGTGGGATCTTCCCAGACCGGGGCACGAACCCGTGTCCCCTGCATCGGCAGGCGGACTCTCAACCACTGCGCCACCAGGGAAGCCCTACCCTGACTCTAAACGAAGAGCAAAGCTCACATTAATTAAATTTCTAGGGCCGCTAATACATTTACTCAGGTTTACCACCAACATGTACAACAGCAATAGACCAGTCACCCTTATCCACAGGCGTATGTTCCAAGACCCCCAGGGGATGCACCGGACCCTGTGTGTACTGTATTTTTTCCTGGACGTACATACCTGTGGTAAAGTGTAATTTATAAATTAGGCACAGTAAGAGAATGTCCAAGTTGCCAGCGTCACTTCTCTGTGCTTTCAGCCATGTTTAAGTAAAATAGGGTTACTTCAACACAGGGACCGCGATACCGCGACAGTGACTCTGATAACCTGCACTACGACTATAAGTGGCTAATGGGCGGGTGGCAAAGGAATGATTCACCTCCCCATCAGGACATCAGGACAGTGTAAGATTTCATCACAAACTTAAGAAGTGTTATTTCTGGAATTTTCCATTTAATATTTTGGACTGCAGTTGACCACGGGTAACATACCACGGAAACTGAGGATGAGGAGTGACTACTGTATACTAATTTAGTTTTGTCACTTAATACGGAATGTAACCCTTTAGGTCACCATATAATTAAGTAATTTATCATACTTTCACAGAGCTCTTATTTGAAAATCTTGTTCTTTTGAAGGAACGTGATTTTTCCTTGAAATATTTTATATATTTAATGAGGTTTATTATTTGTGTTGCTTTATCAAAATTATGAATGTTACTAAATATAATATTATAAAAAGTAAGATATCGGTCTATAACAAAACTTAAGAAATATTAAACCTAGGCCCAAAATATACTTTTTGCCTTTAGATATATTTCTAAAAGTAGTTGTCAAAGTTAAATGGATCTCTTGTTTCGGATATTAATAACTCTTGAATTATTCAAGAGTATTTTTTGTTGTGAGTTAACCTCGTGTGTGTGTGCTGATTACTTGTTTAGGTGAAGATGGTGCCAATGAAGAAGATTTTGGTGTGAGGAAGTTTTAAGTTTTTCTTATTCATACTTTAAGATTAATTACGTACCTCATTTTTTTTCTTCAGTTGACGATCAGCTGACTGTTCACATAGATGAAGGTGGATGGGCTTGTCTGGTCTGCAAAGAGAAACTCATTATTTGGAAGATTGCTCTGTCACCTATTACCAAGGTAATGGTTCTTTAGAGAGCTGGAAAGAGAGGAGAGGATTCCTAATTGGCTCTGAATTTTTACCCTAAATTTTTAGAGTTGTTGGAGGACCATAATTTGAATCTACTCAAGCATTATAGATTTGCATTTTCATAGCAATATGAAATACTGAGCATATCATTTCAAAAATGTTTCTCCCCTTATCATGATTTTAAGCAAGATCCATCTTATTTACATTTAATAAAATTAGAGACATGGAAGTTTTTAATGAATGTCACGCTAGTCACTCTGTCTAATGAAGTCTAAGACTAAAAGCCATCCACATAAGCTGATGAACTGAGTTTATTTATTTTTTTTAAGGTTTTCAAAATAACATTTATTTCTTAAAAGTTAACATGTGCATAATAGGACACCAAAGAACACAAGAAGCGAAATACAAAGTCATCCATCATCACAAGCAGTTTACCATTTGATGTGTCCTTCTAGGTCTTGTTTGTGTATTTAAACACAACTAAGCATCCATTTTTATGTAATTAAGATCATACAGTTATGTATCATGCTTTTTCACACATCATGAATATTTACCATTTCAAAGTCCCAAAGCTATGAGTATTTTGATAACCAAAAATACACTACACCAACTCAGTCTGGAAGGGAAAAAAATGTAATCCTTTCTTGGCGACAAAAACTTCAGAAAAGACAAAAATGGCAACAGGCCTCTAGATAAAGATATTGGCAGAGTTATGATTAAAATACTACATTCCCTTAACGTTCAATTAAAAATGAGACATAAAGCAACAGAGTACCCAAAGTATAATGCTTTTAAGAGGATTCATTATCTGATCTAAACTGTTAAAGTATTTAGCAAGGAGGTATATTTCCGCTGAATTACTTAACAATGTATTCCTATAGTACAGCTTAGAGATGCACACACATCAATGGTTATCATCAAAATATAAAAAGGAACACATCCACATACTTCCCTCCCTTTTATACTTCCTTCTGCCCCTCTGCTACCAACCTAATGAACAAGTCCTGGTGTACATTTCTCAGATGGTTTAACAATTCCATGTCCAAGATGCTACTTTTTTACCAATTATAACAAAGATATTTACAAATTGGTTAATTCACTAGCTCTACTTTTTATCATACATTGTCATCTCAGGACTCCTAAAAAGCCTAGATGTTACAAAATAATGAATGAACCTTGTCCATAGTAAGCATTGGTACTTTACAAAAATGCACATTTAGACCTATGGTTTTAACCTAAAACTGTCTTCTAGATATGGAGATACTAGCTAAGAGCCCTTCCCTTCACCCTTCCTCTTACCCCTCCTCCAGCATATCAGCGACTAAGTACAGGACTATATCTAGCTCCAAGAGGTGGATTAATGTAGACGCTCCCAGAAGACACAGCCCTTCCTAAAAACCAACAAAAGGGCATTTATTAAGGGGTTATTTTACTACCTCTACTTTTAATATACTTTGGGCATTAGGACTTGCTTATTCTTTAATACACAGCAATATTAACTAAAACACACAAATAGAACAATGGTTAGACAATCTGAACTTGTCTAAAGACTCATGGGCACAGATCCCTTCTCTGTACTTCCTTCCCTGTCCGCTTCCCGCCTCCCCACCACCCAGTGAATAGTCAGCTTACTCTCCAAGACTCAAGTTTAACAATTTCCACTCCCCCAATACAACCATTCCTATGAATTAACAGAAAAAAAATACTTAAAAGGTGTTACTTTTAACTCTCTATTTTCAATATATGTTGTGTACTTTTACACATCTAGAAAGATTAGATGTTTCAAATACAGATTTAAGTTTGTCCACTATGTATACACGTAGTAGCACTGAAGAAACTGCACACAAAGGCTGTAGTCACAAAGTGTCTCCTAAACAGGAACACTCTGGCCTAGAAGCTTCCCCTTCTCATCTCTATCAACCCAGTGGACAAGAATAATAAGCATCTGTAATGCTTAGAGGGGATTTTAACAATTTTACTTCCTCCAGTTGTTTTCAGAAGTCTTTCCTATGAATTTTAACACAAAGTGTACACAATGTATTTATCGGCTATTTTTGTCATACACTGGCAACCTCTTTAACATCTAGGAAGACTAGATGTTGTAAATTTGGACCCTCTGTCCTTTATGTACACTGTGTACACAGCCAAGTAAAACAAAACGCAGAGACACACCGGACAATGGTTAGTCTTGGTATAAAGCCCTTTACACTTTCTTCTTTCTCCCTGAACTAGCACAAATAAAATAATGTGTACTGCTCAGAGAGGTGGTTTGATCATTTTGATCACTCCATTTCTAAAAGACAGTATTTCATATGAATTTTAACAAAAGGATATATCTACAAAATATGTTACTTCACTACCTCTACTTTTAACATACTTTGTGCACCTCTAAACATCTAGAAAGACTAGATGTTTCAAATAAGGACTAAAGTTTGTCCACTATATACACAGTAGTGTTGAATAAACTACACACATGTAACAATGGTTAGATCTGAAAGTGTCTTCTACATAGGAACATTCTAATCTAGAACACTTCATTTCTCCCAGTACCTCCTTTCTGCCATCCATCCAACATTGCGCAAGTACAGGCACAGGTGTCACTTAGATGTGATTTACAATTTCACTTCCAAAGGCCCTTTTCAGAAGACGGCCTTTCAATGAATTTTAACACAAAGTGTACAAAATGTGTTAGTTTACTAACTCTACTTTTGTCATACATTGGCAACCTCTTTAATATCTAGAGATTAGATATTATAAAATTGGGACCCATTGGTCCAGTATATACAAAATATATACAGTAAAGTTAAACAAAATGCATGTAACATATAGAGCAATGGATAAGTTGAAATGTTCTAGTACCTGCTAGCAAAACATCTTTTGCAATCTTCCCTCCCACCTCCCTAAACCCAATGAACAAGCACAGAGTATACTGTTCAGAGAGGAGGTTTAACAATTCCATTTCCAAAGACAGTATTTCCCATCAGTTTTTAAAAGCTATTTACAAGAAGCATTATTCTACTAAAATTACTTTTAAATACATCAAGCACTTCTCAACATCTAGAAAGAATAGATATTTCATATAAGAACTTACTTGTCCACTATGTACACAGCACTGTAAAATTGCACACATGTAACAATGGTTATAATCTGAGGTATCTTCTAAATATGACCATTTTGGCCTGAACCATTTCCTCCCTCACTTCCTTCTCTCCACCGCCAATCCAGTGGACAAGTACATGCATATGTAATGCTTAGAGGTGGTTGAACAAATTCATATCCAAAAGTCATTTACAGAAGACAAGCTTTCCTGTGAATTTCAATAAAGTATACAAAATGTGCTCATTTTACTACTTTGTCATACACTGGCAACCCCTTTAACATCTAGAGACTAGATGTTGCAAAACTAGGACTCAATTTGTCCATTATATACACGATATACACAGCAAAACAAAATGAACATACAAAAAATGGTTTTGTCTGAAAATGTCCAGGTATGAACACACTAGCATATTACCTTTTGCAATTCTTTCCCTCCCTCCTCCAAACCACTGAACAAGTATAGACAATAGTATACTGCTCAGAGAGGTGGTTTAACATTTAACATTCCCACAGACAGTACTTCCTGTGAATTTTAGCAAAAAGACGTTTACAAAGTGATATTTTACTACCTCTACATCTAACAAACGTTGGGCACTTCTAAACATCTAGATGGACTAGATGGTTCAAATAAGGACTTAATTTGTCCACTATATACAGAGCAGTGCTGAATGAACTGCACACATGTAACAGTTATAATCTGAAACTGTCTTCAAAATACCAGCATTCTAGCCATTCTAAGACCAACCCCCTTCTCTCTCTCCCCCCTCCACCAACCCAGAGGGCTATCATGCTCAAATTTTCAGAAGACAATCTTTCCCATAAATTTTAACACAAAATGTACAAAATGTATTATTCACTAACTCTATTTTTGTCATACACTGGCAACCTCTTTAACATCTAGAAAGACTAGATGTTGTAAATTAAGACTCATTTGTCCATTATATACACTATATACACAGCAAAGTGAAACAAAATGCAGGAACATAAAAAAGACAATGGTTAATCTTGCTTCACTATAAACACACTGGCACAGAGCTCTTTGCACTTCCTTCTCCTCCCCGCGACCTTGAACCAGTGCACAAACACAGTGCATACTGCGTCCTGTTCAGAAAGGTGGTTTGGCCACCCCTCCCCCCCCAAAACAACATTTCATACGAATTTTAACAAAAAGATATATACAAAATGTCTTTTTACTACCTCTACTTTGAACATATATCAGGCACTTTAGAAGATCTAGAAAGACTAGATATTTCAAAAAAGTACTTATTGTCAACTACACATACAGTAGTAAGGAGTAAAATGCACACACAAACCAATGGTTCTAATATGCAAATGTCTTCTAACTGTGACCAGTCTGGCACAGAACCTTCTTTTCTTCCTCCTCAACGTCTTCCATTCCATGTCCTCTAACCCACGGAACAAACGTGGACCTCTGTGGCTCCTGATGTCGCCTCTAGAGGCGGTCAAACAACTCCATTTCGAAAAGTCATTTCTAGAAGACATTTCTTTTCTACGGTTTTTTTAAAGAAACAAATAGGCATTTACAAGACATGTGACTTTAACTCTATCATACGTCGGCAACCTCCTCACATCTAGAAGGCCTATATGTAGCGAAGTTTTCTTTCGAAAGGTTGGGGGGAAAGTTGAGAGCAGCTTTTTCATATTATATACACAGGCCTTCTATAAACGGCCAGTAAATCTTCCCAAAGGGTGGCGGGCAGTTCCTATTGGCCGCATGTGGTACGTTATTCTACCATTTCTATCTTAACGACATCGAGGTCTTGGTAGAACGATGACCAACCCCAACCGCCCGATGACCCGATAACGTTCCACTCGTCGTCGACCGGGGCTCCGCTCACCTTCCGGGCCCGTTAAGGCCTTTGTCCGTTGTTGTCCGGACGAGGTGAGGTCTGGTCCAACTGGGGCAGAGAGGTCACCTCAGGTCCCGGATCCGCGCGGGCTCTAAGGCCTAAGGGTGGCTGAGCTGGCGTCCACGTAGAGCCCCCTTCCCGGGCCCTCGAGGCTCTAACGGCCCTCCGCAGCGTTCCAGTGGCCGCCATTCTTCTCGCCCTGCCACGCCCGACGCTCAAAGGCGCCACGTCCTCGGTGAGCTGCCGGAGGCTTCGCCTAACCCTTGCAGCGTAGGGTCAAGAGACCCGGCGGTGGGTGGGATCTGGGCTCCGAGGGTCCGCCGCCATTAGGTCGCGGAGGTCGGGGTGTGGGGGCAGTTCGTTGCTGCTTCCAGGCTCGGGCCCTGCCAGTGGGTGGCTGCGGCGAGGGCTCTGGGGCTCGGTAAGACACAGCCTGAGCTTGTCCCGGGGGCCCCCCCAGTTCACCTGCCGACCAGAGGCCGGAGGGCCTGGAGGGCCCCGAGCTAGAAGGCCGCCATCCGCTTCTCACCGTGCTCTCTGCCGTAACTCTGAACTGAGTTTCTTAGAAGATAGGAATGTATTTCACTGAATCTACTGAATGATGCATAATAAAATAGGAAAAAATGATACCAGTTTTTATAACGCTAATTTAACTTTCAATTGTCAACTTCTCACACGGGGGTTTTCATTTGTACATCCACTCCCGTACCCTCAGCAGCCTCTTTTTCTTTCCGCTCCAGATCAGGCATACTCTCTTGCACCACTTGTGTTCACTGGGCCATTGTTCCACTGGGATTTGGGCTCCCACTTACCTAAACTCTTCACGTCTACTGGCCTCTGTACTGCTGCTACCTAGAAAACCCTGTTTGTAGTTTTAGGAGCATAGGTGAGGGAGAGGGCCTGGGGTGGGCATCCTGAGTTAGCAGAGGAACGCTGACACTTGGCTGAGTCTAAGAAATGTTTTCTAGGTGACTTGGAATACTAACTCTGTGGTCATGCAGATTTTAAATGTCAACTAAACAAATCAAGATTAGACTGGGAAAATTCCATAGGAAGCCTACACACTTCTTTCAACCAATAGACTTTTTGGTCTGGGAAGAGATTGGAGTAGTTTATATTAAGGGTCTGGTCTAGCTGCTATGTTTTCCTGATTCTATATCTCTTAAAATATTTTGTTTTAAAATTACTGAAAATGATGATGAAAGCCTGATCAAAAAGATATGAGAAGAAAGAGTATTTGTAGAATGGTATTTCCAGCAATGAATTAGAATCTAAAATATGCAGAGAAGGGAAATAGTGAAGCCAGATGCATATTCAAAAACTTGGATTTGACATGAAAGATGTTTTGTTTGGATTTGTTCTATAGTTATCTGTTTGCAAAGAACTTCAGCTGCCACCTACTGATTTCCACTGGAGTGCCAACTTGGTGGCTCTGTCTTACTCTGCTACCTCAGGTGAAGCACATTCTACTCAGGTAGGTGACTTAAATGCTTATTGAAGTACATTTTTTAAAATAAGGGAGTTCTAAAGTTGGAGGAATCCTCCAGCCCAGTTCTGAAACGTAGCTATAAAGCTACAGGAATCAAGACGGAGAGGTGACGGCAAAGAGATGGACACACAGGGCAGTGGAACAGAATAGAGACTAGAGATATAGACTCACTCAAGGATGGCCCTTTGATCTTTGACAAAGGCGCAAAAGAAATTCAGTGGATCAAGGGTGGTCTTTTCAGTAACTGGTGTTGGAATCATTGGCTGTCTTTATGGAAAAAAGAAGCATTCCTCCTAAACCTCATTCTTTATGTAAGGATGAACCCAAAATGGATCATAGATCTAAATGTAAAACTAAAAACTTTTGGAAGAAAGCAGGAAAAAAAATCATCATGACCTGGGATTAGGTGAAGAGTTCTTAGAAATTACCAAAAACATGATTCATAAAAAAAAAATAAATTGGACTTAATCAAAATTTAAAACTTGGCTCTGCCAAAGGCACTGAAAAGAAAATGAAGAGAGAACTACAGACTGGTAGGAAATAGTATATTATATAAATATTATATACGATTTATATATCCAACAAAGGACTTGTATGTAGAACATAAAATGAACCCTCAAAGCTTAGTAAGAAAACAGACAACCCAATTTAGAATAGGACTTGAATGCTTTACCAAAGAGGATATAAGGATGTCAGATAAGCACATGAAGAGGTGTTCACATCATTAGCCATTAGGAAAATGCAAATAAAATAAGTGAGATACCACTACACCCCTATTAGAGTGGCTGAAATGAAAAGCACTGACACTACCAAGTGCTGACGAGGACGTGGAGCAGCCGGAACCTCATACGTTGCTGGCGGGCCTGCTGGTGGTACAGCCACTTGATTTTCACTTCTCATAAAGTTAAAGTACCCTTGCCCTATGACCCAGCAATTTCATTCCTGCCTATTTACTTTAGAGAAAGTAATGCTTATGTTCACACAAAAAAACAGTACACTAATGTCATAGCAGCTTTATTTGTGATAGCCAACGGCAGAAACAATACGAGTGTCCTTTAAACGATTTATCCATAGAATGGAATACTACTCAGCAGTAGAAAGGTGTGAGCTGCTGATACATGCAACAACAACCTGGATGAATCTCAAAGACGTCATTCTAAGTGAGATACAGGTTCTATTCAGTGTCAAATATAACCAGAGTCAAAAGGTTATATTCTATATGATTTCATTTGTTTGGCATTCTCAGAAAGACAGAGCTATAATGATGGAAACGGTGATTGCCAGGGGTTAGGGTAGGGAAGGGTGTGACAGTAAAGGGAAAGCGTTAGGGTGGTAGTTACATGAGTCTACACGTGTTTTAAAATTCACAGAACTGTAAAAAGCAAAAGATTTTATGCGGTCTGAAGAGAAACCAGAGTATAAAAATTGTAAAACAAAAGGGGGAAAATGTCAGTTTTATTGTATGATAATTTTTTTAATATGGAAAAAAAGGAATTTTTATTTCTGATTTCTGTTAATCAATAGTACATTGCCCTGGTTTCTTTATATCAGTGTCACCAAACTCCCGACTTGGGCTCCTTCTTTTATTGTGGTTACTGAGTATTATGGTCTTGTTTTGAGGCTGTTGCTGTCATGGTTGCCACCAGAGAAGGATCCATCCGCTATTGGCCAAGCCTTGCAAGTGAAGACACCTACACAGAGACGTCCGTAGATCTGGGAGGTGATAAGACTTGCAGTTTCCTAACGACAGTGCAGGTATATGATATTCTTTTATATTTATTGGAACGCTGTGATTTGGCTTGGAAGTGGGATTTAAATGACTAAAAATTTGGGGTTTTGAGCACATCATACAGGCAGGGGGTGGGGGGAATCAAAAAGAGGCAAGAAAAGAATGTCAGGATCTAGGATTTGAACACTTAGACAGAGGGAAGCCCTTCTCATAGGACTCTGCAATATCAGTAGTGCATAGTAGCCGATGTTATTCATTTCTGTCAGAAAGATCTTCATAAAGTGACGTAGAAACTCTTAGACAGTAGGAGGAATGGTTTGCTAATATATACTCTGCAGGTTTACTGAAGAAATAAAATCTGATACTTGATTTGTTGAACCTGCATGATGGTGAACCTATCACTTAAAAATCAGAATTAAAAAATACATGCAGTTAAAAATATTGCAACAAAGTTATTCTGTGTAGAATTAATATTAAGTTGAATGGATTCATAAGTAAGTGATTTTAATAAAATAGCACTGTTCTTTTTTATTCTTTTAGATTTGTTTTAAGGTACAGATGATTTCCTTCTGTATCAAACTGATTTGTGTTAATTTTCTTTTCTTAGTCTTAACTGCTTAACTAACTTTGCTATGTTTGTTCACAGGGAGGAAGTTTTATTTTATCCTCATCGGGAGGCCAGCTGATTCGCCTGATACCCGAAAGTGTAGGAAAAATTCATCAGCATATCCTGCCTCAAGGGCAAGGTGTGCTTTCGGGAATTGGTCGGAAGGTTTCTTCTCTTTTGGGAATTTTATCTTCTAGCAGTGATCTCATAGTAAGTTGATAAAATAACTTTGTTTTACAAGCTTCTCTTAGTGAAATCAATAAGTTGGCAGTTCCCTATGAAGTTGGTATTGCCTCTGTATGAACTGTGGTGTACATGAGCTGAAAGCTTTGATCTTTCAGTGAAGCATTTTTATTATGATGGTCAAATGAGTTCATACCCTGTAACGTTAATATTCTTAAGTCACACAGATTATCTTATAAGTAAATTCTTTGAACTAAAACTATGATGTAAAATTATAAACGTGTTTAAGGATTAATTTTGCTTTCTAGACATAACCAAAAGTGTGTTCTCCACCCCCATGACTCCAGCTATCTGTGTGGATGACTCAAATCTATGTCTGCTGGGCTTCTGCCTCAGTCTCTGGAATAGTGAAGGGAGGCTGATGGGAACTAACGTGTGGGGGGCATCTGCTCTCTGCTAGGTGCTCCATGTTTGTTACCTCCTGTAATTATTAGATGACCTGTAAGGTAGAGAGCTTCATTTCCAATTTGTAGATGAGGAACTGGCCTCAGTGAGGCTAAATTGCCCAAGGTTACAGAATCACTCGGCGGCAGATTCATACCCACGTCTGTTTGAATTGAGAGCACACCTTTTTTTTTAAACTATGCTGTTCCCTCTAATTTCAGGTTGCTATTATTATCTGCTTCCTTAACTGGTCTTTGAACCTAAAACGTAACATGTCTGGAAGCAAATTGCTGATATTCTCTTCTCTCCTGTTGACTTACAAAACTCATTTCTTTTTTGACCTATTTCTAATGGCACTGTCACTTTTCTCAGAGACCCAGGTATAAAACCCTGGTGTGTGTGTGTGTGTGTGTGTGTGTGTGTGTGTGTGTGTGTGTGTGTGTGT